TGTAAACTCCTTGCACTGCTCAGGTGTGTAGTAAAGCATGAAGACGGCCTGTATAGACGTTACATTCCCACGGGTAATTTCCCCAGGGGAGCGAGGACGCAGCCTTTGGGTCTTCCACAACGGGAGGCAGCTTACGCTATGGAGAAGTCCTTAAACCTGGGGAGGGAGTCGGATGCTGAGAAGGCAAAGACTCGCAGCGATTACGCTGAGTGACTGGTGGCCCTCAGTGTAGGCAGAAGTAAACCAAGGCTCAGGGGTGAAGTGAAGTCCCTGAGGTCACACAGCCAACCTGACTCTGGATGCAGCTGGGTGCAGCCCTGCGCCCGGCAGTGAGTACACAGTCTGGCCGAACGCCATGGGCAGTGCTCTGCAGAGTACAGCTTCAGAGAGGTCACAGACTCGCCCTCACCCAGGGTCACACAGCATGGCAGGGGCAGGGGCAGGTGTCTGTGCACGCCCGCCATTCCCAAGTACTAGTCTCCACTCCCTCCCAGCACTGCCCCAAGAGCCTTCACCAGCCAGGAGTGGGATGAGGCAGCCTGGACGGACTTGCACTGCAAGCATCCGGAAGGAAACTGGCTGGCACAATGCTGCCCATAAAGAAGAAATAAACACATAAAGGCCACGTGACCTAGAAGGCGCAGACACTATTAAAATACTTAACACAAAAGCAAATTCCTGCCTGGTGGTATGTTCTCAGCAGCTGCTTCCAGCTCGGGGCGGGTCTGGGCTCACTCCAGCACACAGGGCCTGTGCAGCCCGGGAGAATGAAGGCGGAAGCCCATGCCCCCCGCAACAAAGCATGCATTCAGAGGCTCCTCGGGAGGCCAGCTCCAGGACAAAGTGACCATGACCACAGGCTGCGGCCCCGGCTGCCCAACACAAACACACACACTCTCTCTCTCACTCACTCGTTCCAGGGTCAGCAGGAGCCCTGCGTGTGAAGCCCAGCCAGGGCCCTGGTGGCCTCTCCAGTGACTAGGCCCCTGTCCCCGTAGACAGGTGCAGCTCGGGCTGTGCTTCCTGAAGACTCTGCTCCCAGCCCTCACTCTCTAGGCCCTGTGTCCCCTTTGATCTGCTCACCCACGGGTCCGTAGGGAAGCCAGATCACGGGCAGAGGCAGAGCTGCCAAGCAAACAGGGTACCCTGTTAAATTTAAGTTTCAAACAAACAGCCAATAATTGTTTAGCATAAGTATGTCCCATGCCATATTGGGGCCATATGTATTATACAAAATAGTACTTATTACTTATGAGAAGTTTACTTTAGCTGTCCTATGTGTTAACTGACAACCCTATGCCGTCGGGGGTGGGGCAGAGCAGGAGGAACCTGGGAGACAAAAAGCCAGGTAAAGAAAACAAAAGGGGCCTTGTGAGGAGGAAGGGAAGACGTGAGGAAACCCTCTTCCCTGAGCGCCTTCACCCAGAAGCTTCCCCGTGTGTCATTTCATTTGGGTTCCCCAGTCATTCTGTGCGTCACTCTATGGTCCCCCCTTCCGGGAGACAAGCCAGAGGGTCGAGTCCAGTGACCTGCCGAGTGCCTGGTGAGGAGTTCGCCTCTGAGTACAACCCACGCTGCTGCTTCTGCAGCAGGCTGCTCCAGCTGCTGACTCGCTGCCACAATTTCCATAGCCCACACGTAAAGAGCGTCCAACGGTTTCCTCCACTTTGCTATTAGTACGTGAGGAGGCTGCAGGCATCCAGCCTTCACCATCGTGCCCACTAGGAGGCCCCGGCATCCACCCCCAAACCCCTGGGATAAACAGAACCATTGAACAGTCTACCAAGTATCTCATGCCAGTCACTGATTCCTGCAATGTGAGTGGTATTTCTTGAAAAAGTCTGGGTTGGCCACAGGCTTGCCATGGTCTAGTTCACCATAAATAACCCTTCCAACTGCGCTGGGGTTCAGGGATCTATACTTCTTGCCATCACCCAAGACATGCTTCTGTCCATAATCCTTAGGAAATTACACTCTGCGTAATCCTGGATTTGTGAGCCTCTATCTTCTGTCTCCCAGTCCATTGTGGCAGCCAGTTCTTGTACCCGGGCTGTTTCAAAACAGACGCAAATTCTATATTTGCAAAAATACAGTTGTCTGTTCATAGAAAAGTTCCTCAACTCTTTTTTCCAAGTGAATACATCACCACCGAGGACCTGCCCAGGGGTCTGGTCCCCTAGGAAGAGGCAGAAAAAAGGAAGGAAGGGCAACATTCCACCGAAAATGACCACACGCACAACTTTCAGATGAACAAGGTCACAGGATGATTCACTCAACAGAATTTTAACAGGGATCCGACAGAAAGTCCCCACCCCTGCTCTAACATGCCACAATTCCAGCACCAATGCCTAGAGAACAGTTGGTTCAGCATACGTTTGGAAGGAAAAATTGGAGAAACTGTTTATCAAGTAGACAGTAGGAAATATTTCTTCCTCACCCTCCTCCAAGGTTGTAACAATAAAGGCGCACAATAGAGGGAACCAGTCACAAAGGTACTGAGACTGACCGTGCCCGCTTCTGAAGGCGGTCACTGTGGGGCCAGTGACTACAACGTGACACAATGCAGGGATCCACATCGACTCCTGCTTAGTAAATTTCCATATCCAGGCAGGCTCACTTCACCAGTCAGCGCTAGCTTCTGTGCTGTTTTACTGTATTTTCAAGTTTTCCTTTCTTCTTACAGCTTCTTCTAGACTCCACCTTCAAGTGCCCACTTCACACCTCCCCACTCAGGGAGCCAGTTCCGAGAGGGATCTCGGGGGTGGCGACCAGGCAGCCATCAGGGCAGGTGGCCCAGCTACAGAGACCCCACAGACCGTGATGGCCAAGTCTAGGCAGAACAGGGCTGAGGGCCCTGCTCAACGAAAAGGCCCAACTCCATCTGCCCTTGCACCCCACTCTGGCCAACCCTCATCCCCCACCCAGTCCCCCACCCCCACAGCTGCAGAAAGCCTACAGCTCTCTAGTGGAAGAAGGTAAAACGCACACTACACTCATCAGCCAGCGGCCAGCACACGGCTGCACAAACCCCAGTGTCCACAGGGCAGCCACACGCAGGTGCGGAGCACAGGGCCCTGGGCATTTCAGGTGGGGCTTCCGCTGGTTTGGGGGGACCCAGCCCTGCCAACGGCATGCTCCAGGCTCCAGCGGCCGTTCTCTCTGCGCATAACACTAATTAAAGATTCTGAAAGTGAGGAAAACTCAATTTCATTTCTAATCTAAAACCCTTCTGAGATTTCTTTTGGGAAGCCCAGACAATTAAACTGATTTAAGTTACACTGTTTATGAAATCCTACGCCTACAGAAAATATAAATTCTGGCCAACATCATTTAAATTAAGTGTGATGAGGTTTCCAGATTTCCACGCATGATTCGTGAGAAGATTCCAGGCCAGGGCTCGAAGGCATCACTACTCTAACTGCATTTCCTAATTAGGCCAGTCTCAACATCCCAGGGACCCCAGGCCTCCCAGAGCACTCCCAGCAGAGCTGCAGCTCCCCACAACGGGCAGACAACAGGGGACAGGAGAGCTGTGACCACCAGCACCACAGCTCGGGGAGCGAGGGCCTCGCCTGTTCCCCCTCTCAGATGGAGGAAGCAAGGTCCCAGGTGTGGTGGCAGTGCTGGGACGAGCACCTAGGACCTGGACTCTTTGTTTAATGTTCCTTCTACCACCTCCGTTTGCCGTCCAAGACCCCAAGCATAAGGTACACCTTGCACAGAAGTGAGGGAATGAGGCTGGCACAGGTAAGGCGGCAGGTGTTTGTCCACGCCCTCCCCCTTCCACCCTGCTGCAGGGCAGAAGCCGAGGCTGTGACTCCGGGCCAGCCAGCCGGTGAGAGGATTACGTAAGGCCCCAGCAGCTATCAGCTCTCTCAGAGGCCTTGCAGGAATTTCCTGTTATGTGAGCTGGGGAAGCGCACCCTGTGGAGCCAGAGCCCCACAGCTCTCCAGTGACTGGGCCCCACTCCAACAGTGTCCCGGGGGACGGCAGTGGGGCTTGCACTGAGAACAAAGAATGAAAACCCAGGGCAGAGTGAAATCCCAGCTCTTTCCAAGCAAACCTGAGCAGCTCCAGCTCTGGCTGAGTTGCCACTCTGGTCACTGGAGGCCGAGAAAGCAACAGGCAACTCTCAGCATCTGCTCAGGGCACAGGCCTAGTTCTAAACAAAAACTGATTTCTGCTGTTCCTTTTCTTTTTGTAGAAAAGGAAAAAAAATGGTAAGACCTGGATTACACACAAAAGACTACACACAAACAGGTCCACAAGCACCAGGCGGGAAAACAAGGCACTGCGGCTCACCTTCCACATGCCCGACCCCGGTCCCAACCCCGCCACCCTGGCTGCGGGGACTGTCCTCTCCTTGGTCGTCTGACAATGCGTGCTTCCCTGGAGGTGACAGCTCAGTTTCGCCAACATGCACACAGCTGCCACGTGCTCCATTGTGTGGCTGCCCGGCACTCGGCGGGGTGAATACATCTTATTTCTCCATTCTGCTGGCCCACACATTCCAGCTCCCACAAAGGATGCTGCCCTGAACGTCCTGGCTGTCGGGTGCTAACGTTTCTACACAAGATGCGCTTGACTGTGAAACCCTGCAGCGTGCACCGGGACTAGGTGACCCACGCCGTCCTGGTGCCACAGCCATGCTGCCTCTCCCTCCTTACGACACCAGCCACCACCCCACGCCGGTGGAAGAGAAGTGGGGTCACGGTGACACAGAGCCCAGAAGGGACATCCTGACACCCTGTCCATAAGACAAAGCCCAAGATTTAAAAATTCTGATCTTCACAGAACCAACAATCACAACTACTAGGATTTCCAGAAGCAAAATGTCACAATCTCCCTGCCAAAATAATAAGGCAGCATCTGTGGCCAGAGAACCCCGCTGCCAATACTATGAACTGTATGCAGTTACCACAGCATGCTGCCAAGTGTTAGGGACAGAAACACGGCACGAGAAATCCAGACACAGTGGATGTCAACAGCCACCACGCACCTGTACACCGGCTGCATCTCTCTGGCTATACCAATGACAGCACCTGGCAGGAAATTGTCAAACTCCTCGAACAACTCCCGGATGTTGGTCTTATACTTCAGGTCGAGGTCCAGCTGAATGATCCGCAGAATCTCTAGAAGAAAGAAAACGACAATGCTAAGAAACACAGGCACACAGACACACACACACACACATACACACACACATCCTGGGAGCCTTGACCGAAAGGGCCCTGGGCTGTAACTGCCATCACCAAATGAGGCAGAGTTATTGTCGGAAACAAGGGTCCTTCCTTGACCTGCAACTCCTCTGCACCGGAAGTCTTCACCAACAATTGCCCAATCCTTCCCTCTAACCATGCACATCATTCCATTTAAAACTAGGTGACTGGGGCTGGCTCTGTGGCATGGTAGGCTAAGCTTCCACCTATGGGTGCCGGCATCCCATACGGGCACTAGCTCTAGTCCCAGCTGCTCCTCTTCCGATCCAGCTCTCTGCTATGGCCTGGGAAAGCAGTAGAAGATGGCCCCAGTGCTTGGGTCCCTGCACCGTGTGGGAGACCTGTAGAAGACTCCAGGCTCCTGGCTTCGGTTCAGCCCCGCTCTGGCTGTTGCGGCCATCTGGGGAGTAAACCAGCCTATGGAAGACCTTTCTGTCTCTCCCTCTGTAATTCTACCTCTCAAATAAATCAATCTTAAAAAAAAAAAAAAGACAAAAGCGAAACAAAACAAACGAGGCGACCACATGCTCCACGCTGGGCCTGTGGTCTCGGTGTGAGCATCAGTGGCCCACTTCCCTGCAGGAAGGCTCTGTCTAGGACGACAGGTGACGTGGACGCCCTACGTGAAACAAGGTGTCGTTCCGCCCTGCAGCCCAGGTGCTGAGCGACCCACCAGAGAGCGAGGTCCACAATGCCAGTGCCTCAGGCCCTCGTCCCTGCCAGCGTGAGATGCTCACCCAGGGAGACACAGCTGAAAGGCCTCAGATCCGGCCATGTTTGTAGTCTCACGATGCCCTGGCACACAATAGCTTTTTCCTTCGTTGCCTCCAGGTGACTCCGGGAGAGAGGAGGAGGAGGGAGGCACAGGCTTAGGCCACTCTGTCACCCCTCACCTGGCCAAGCCTGACTGTGCTCCCACGGGTGCCAGACACCAGGCTGGTTGGTGGGGCCCCTGCCCACAGGGAGAGACTGCAGGTGATTGACAACAGGGGAGGGGCTTGTGCTGGAGCACGCAGTGGACGGGGGCACGTGCACCTCAAAGCCGGGGTGTTGGGGCAGATGTAGAAGGGAGCAGAGCAATCCCAGGTGATGAGGAGGTTGCCCCGCCCGGCAATTACAGCACAAGGGTTCAAGTTCTACTTCTGCTGCAGTTTTGGCCTGGGACCCCAAGAAAGATACTTCACTTCTCTGACCCTCAGATGGGACACTTGTTACAATAAAACAAGGATGATATAAGACTGAGGATGCGGCAATGTGGGAGACGGATGTTCCAGGCCAGGGCAAGCTTGGTGAGTAGGAAACTCGCTGAGGCTTGGAGCAGTCAAGGAAGGCTTCATGGAGGAGGAGGCCTGTGGGCAGGTATAGAGGGGTGAAGCGGCATCAACACCCACTCCAGCACACTGGGGCTTCCGCTGAGCCCTGGACCATGATCTCCCGCCTGCCCTGTGCTGGGGACAGGATGCCCATGAATTCCACTGAGGTCAGGGGGCAAGTCCTCCCTGTCCCGGCTCCCCCACCTCGCGGCACAGGGTTTGGCACTTGGCAAACACTCAGGAACGTTTGCAGAATCTGAAAGCCACTTTCTAAATCAGTTTATGAAGAAATCACAGTTTACAATTCAAGAAGAACTGATTCATCTGTTCCGTGTTCTGTTTTCCTCTGTGGTGCAGAAACAAGAGGTCGGCTGACATTCTACAGGGCTTTTCTGGGAAAAACACAAGCTGAGGTAGAGCAGATGAGAAGTTGGCTGCTCAGGCCAGAGGAAAGCCGGAGGCACCAGGGCCGGCTTCCCTGGACCCCCGGGGGTGGGGAGAGGCTTCGGAAGGAGGGTCTGCCCAGCAAATGCGGCTCTGCCTGGCTTTATGCCGACCCTCGCCGCTCCCGCCAGGCACACAGCAGCAGGACCACTTCCCTGGCTGCATGGAAAAACCCCGTTCACAACACCAATTATCCAGAAACCAGGAGAGGTGATCATCCTGGGAGCAGGGGTGTCAGAAAGTCAGGCTGGTGACACTGCTGGTCTCCTGGAAACCTGCCCTTGACAGAGAGGCAGAGACCAGGGACAGTGTCCAGGCACCTGCTGCTCGGACGCAGTCCTGAGGCTCTGGGGGAAGGAACGGACACTGAGCCAGAAAGAGGGTCCAGGAATGAAGGTTGCAGCATTTGATGCGATGATTAAGTCGCCGCTTGGGACACCCACGTCCCGTTTCAGAATGCCTGGGCTCGAGTCCCGGCTCCGATCCCAATTCCAGCCTCCTGCCAATGCACATCCTGGGGAGAAGCAGGTGATCGGCTCCAGGACGCAGGTTCCGCTACCCACAGGGGAGACCTGGATTGTTTTCCAGCCTCAGGCTTGGGCTTGGCAAGGCCCCAGATGTTGTAAGCATTTAGGGAATGAACCAATGGATGGGAGATATCTCTCCTCTCACTCTGAATCTTCCTTTCAAATAAATAAGAAAGTTGCAATTACCAAGAAGTCATGATGAGTCATCAAGGGGACAGCTGCTGCCTGGCGCTCAGGACGCACACCACACACACCCCCTCCAGCCACTTCTCTTGCTTCCTTTAGTCCATCTCCTGCACCCCAGGCAGAACCCTGGTGGGACAGGGACAGGATAGTCCTACTACCACCCCTGGCAGAGTAACCACATCCTCCCAGGCTCTCCGAATAAGCAGGGCAGGAGATAAAGGCACTTGCCCAGGACACGGGGCAGCCTCACAGATGCGTGATGGCAATCCGTGGTGTTGGCCAAGCTGTGAAAGAGGGGAGAGCCCATCCTGGTGACCCTGGCTAGTCCTTCCTGTAACATTCACAAAGGCCAAACTGAAGCTCCCCCGTTCATGAGCTCAGTCATCTCTCCGTAAGGGGGACTGGCTCCAGGAGCCTGTGTGGATACCAAAGCCCGTGGATGCTCAAGTCCCTGGAGTAGGAAGCTGAAGTATCGCGTGTAACCGACAGACACCCTCCTGCACACGTTAAGTCATCTCTACACCAGTCATAACAGCTAAAACCATATAAGTGCAAGCGGAGAGTTGGTGGATTGGCTGGTTTAAGGAGTGGTGATGGGAAGAAGGGTGCATGTTTGGTGCAGGTGCACCTCATTTTCAGAACATTCCTGATCTGAGGTTGACTGGACCCAGGCACACAGAGACCACAGGTGCAGAGAGCAATCACGATGCCTGGGAAACTGCTGATTTCTTATAACTTTTCAAGGTGCTACCTAGGGTTGTTCCCAGTTGTATTTTTTTTTAATTTTTAAAAAAGATTTATTTGAAAGACAGAGTTATACACACACACACACACAGAGGAAGAGGAAAAGACAGGGAAAGATTGATCTTCCAACCTCTGGTTCACTCCCCAAATGACTATAATGGCTGGGACTGAGCCAGACAGAAGTCAGGAGCCAGAAGTTCCATCCGGGTCTCCCACATGGGTGCAAGGAAACAAGCACTTGGACCATCTAACACTGCTTTCCCGGGTGCACTAGCAGGGACTTGGATCAGAAGTGGAGAAGCAGGGACTTGAACCAGCACCCAATGGGATGCTGGGGCCGCAGGTGGTGGCTTTACCCACTATGCCACAGTGCCAGACCACTTGTTCCCACTTTTAGATGAAGAAACAGAAGTTGGGACCAGCACCGTGGCATAGCGGGTAAGGTTGCCGCCTGCAGTGCTGGCATCCCACGTGGTAGTTGGTTCCAGTCCTGGCTGCTCCATTTCCGATCCAGCTCTGTGTTAAGGCCTGGGAAAGCAATAGAGGGCGGCCCAAGTGCTTGGCCCCTGCACCCACATGGGAGACCTGGAAGAAGCTCCTGGCTTCAGATCAGCCCAGCTCTGGCTGTTGTGGCCATCTGGGGAGTGAACCAGTGGATGGAAGACCTCGCTTGTACTCTCTCTGCCTCTGCCTCTCAAAAAATAAATAAATCTTTAAAAATAGGAAGGGAGGGAGGAAGGGAAGAAAGAAACATGCTTAGAAAGTTTCAATGGAATAGCCCAAGATCACAGAACAAGTTGTGGAGTGGTATTTGAACCTTGACATTGACGCCAGTTCTGGTGCACCCTGATGCCTCTTCTGATCAGAGGCCCGGGGGCATGCAAAAGGCACAGACCATGACAGACAAACAGAACTGTGGAACACACAAGCTGGTAGCAGATGCTCAGGCAGGGAAACTGAAGGAATTACGGTAACTTCACTGAAATGAACAAACTCCTGGTGGAGGCCAGAGCCCTCTGCTCAGCCACCAGTCCTCCTCCATCCAAGCTGGCCATGAGCTACATGTGCTCTCGGGTTCCTGAGGCCACCAACACCTTCCTCATTCTGAAAGCGGCAGCCCCACAGTCTCTCTCTGTCCCTGACCCACCTGGACAAGCCCTGGTTAGAAGGCGGGGCTCCCTACACAGTGTTCCCAGCTCTACACACACACACACACACACTGGACAGGCCCTGGTTAGAAGCCGGGGCTCCCCACACAGCACTTCCAGCTCCCCCCACACCCACACAGCACACACAGTGCTCCCAGCTCTACATACACACACACACACACACACACACACACTGGACAGGCCCTGGTTAGAAGCCGGGGCTCCCCGCGCAGCACTTCCAGCTCCCCCCACACCCCCACCCCACACACACCCCGGCACTCTTGCAGGAAGGGCACTCAAGCACAGAACGTTCTGGGAAGGCGGAACTCAGGGGCGCAGGGTGCTTCTTGAACAGACCCAGCTCTCTCATGTGGGTGGAGCCTGGGTCTCCTCTTAATAACCCCTTGAATACTCCCTGCCGTTTAGGAACTGGCTGGGGGTGAGCCCAGGAAGGGGATGCGGCTCTGAGACACCGTTCAGCACCTTGCGGGCAGGCAGGCCTTCAAGCTGCGAGCACTTCTTAGGACGGGATTCAGAAGGGAAGAGATGGC